CTCTCAAAACCCTTCCTTTAAAAAATAAATCTGTTGGAGATGTGAAAAAAAAAAAAGAATGAATTAGTGGAAAAATGATTTTATTCATACAATCACTACATATATACATATATATATGTGTGTGTGTACTACACTACATATTAGTCCAGTTGAAGATATTTTCATACATGTTATAATTAACAGATAATTTTCCATTTTTATGTCTCTTAAATGTTTTCTTCTTCTCTTTTTTTTTTTTTAAGAGTTGCTTCATTTTGGTAAAAGAATAGCTGAGTTTACTTTATGTCTCAGGAAACAAGTATAGAAAAAAAGCTGGATGGGAGGGGAATAAACAGTCTATCTAGGTAGAGAGGCAGTCATTTCCAAAGAGCAGGTAACTTTCTGAATTAATCAGCTCCATCCTCATCTTAAAAATGATTGGTCTTGAGATCAGCAGATGGTGTAATGGATATGTAATTGTACTCCCACACTGTTGACTTAAGTTCGAGTCCTGGACCCAGTGACTTAAAACTCACACCAGACACATGAGTTTTAAATAAACTCACAAGAGGAGAATGGAAGAGAAGGGACTGTGACATGGGCATCCCCCCAGGAGACAATTTCTCACTTCTGTCTTTTTCTGTCTCTCTGGCAAGTGCATACATCCTATATAGCAAAAATCTCTTATTGAAAAAATAATTGATCAGGACCAGCAGATGGCATAATGGCTAAGTCTCTGGACTCCCATGTAGTCAACCACGGTTAGAGTCCTGGACCCGGGTGTGTGTGTGTGTGTGTGTGTGCCCAAGATCCCCCAAGAAGAGAATGGAAGAGAAGGGACTGTGGTGTGGCCATCCCACCTGGGGGGTGATTTTCTTGCTTTCTGTTTCTGTCTCTCTCTGTCTTTCTGGCGCCCCCCCATAGGAAAAAACCCTAAAAAAAAAAAAAAAAAAAAGGATCTTTCTCAGACTAGGAATCCTTTCTGGGACATAAGCAAAAAAGAGAAGGCAAATGTATTTCAATGGAAGCAAAGAAAAATGAGTTATGATGGTCTTTATTAATTTTGTTTATTTATATTATTTGTGTGTGTGTATATACAAACATGTATATACATAATCCATCCCCCCATCCACTGAGGGGAAATTTGATTCTGTGTTTGAGCACAGAATGAAAACAGAAAATACTTGATCGATGAACATTGTTGACATGGCAAAAAAAAATGCTGTATCCTTAACAAATAAAATAAATGAATTAAATAAATGAATACATAATTTTAAAAAAGGGGCTGACAGATGGCATGGAGGTTAAAGGCACTGCACTCCCACATGGCCGACTGTAGTTCAAGTCCTGGACCTGGTGATTTGCTTTCCCGCTTTCCCTTTGTCTCTCTCTGGTTAAATTAAAAAATAGTGGTAACAAATGGAATTAAAATAAATGACTAAGCTTTTTTTAAAAATGCTCTATCTTTAGATCTGATAAGCCAGAAATTCACAAAATTACACTTCATATGAACTTATCTAAGTCTGAAATGTGCAAACTCTTTATATTTGTTACCACCCAGCACTGTGGATATGGTATTGGATTCTCTTTTTTAATTCTTTTATTTAACTTTATTTACTTATTTTGATTTTGATGAGAGAGAGAGAGAGGGAAGGAGGGAGGGAGGGAGGGAGGGAGAAAGCAAGCCACCAGATCCAGGACTTGAACCACAGTTGGCCATGTGGGAGCCCAACGCCCTTAACCACCACACTTCCTGTTGGCCCCAGATTAATTACTCTTTAATTCACGCTGTAGAAAGTAGTTTCGGGGCTGGCAGGTAGCATGGTGGTTAAGAGCACTGGACTCCCATATGGCAGACAATGGTTTGAGTCCTGGACCTGGCGGCTTGCTTTCTCACTTTCCCTCTTTCTCTCTCTCATTCTGTCCCACTCTGATCAAATTAAAATAAACAGACAAATACAGTTAAATTAAATAATTCTTTAAAAAAAAAATTGTTCCAATTACAGAGAAGTATACTTACTTTCCTATACACATATGTATGGAAAATATTCTATTTAACACATACACACAAACACCCCTTAACATCTAATTTCATGTTTGAGAGAAGAATAACGTTTTAATGCATACCATGCAAATTATTTCTTTAAAATTTGCAACATCTACAGTATACAAAAGAGAATAGTATGTATTGATTGGAATAAAATTAGAACAGTAAATCCTTTTTTGAAATTATCATAAATTAGTGATAGAACTTTGTTTTTTATATTATTATTTCTTTTTACATGTCAGGTATATTTTATTTATACTTGAAACTGTCTTCGTAGTTGTTTTTTTTTCTAAACACTTTCTGTAAAGACAAAAATTAATAAAGTATTTGATACCATTTTCCAGACACAATAGGAATGAAACATCTTTTTAATAAATACTTTAATCTTAATGAACATGTATAATTAAATCAATTTGTCAAACAAGATGCTACACAATTTAGTTAATTTCATTAAAAAATGTTGAGATATATTTTAGGAAAAGAATCACTATACACCTGTTATTTTAAATTTTTAATTTCTGAGCGAATAATACATTCACCTTGCTCAAAATACAAACACTTCCTTCCCGCTGGCCTCCTCTCTGAGTTGACAAGGCAACCAGTTATATATTTGTACATCCTTCCTGAAACTAATTATTCATATAGAAGCAAACATATTTTGTTCCTTCCACTTGCCCTATTTTGAACACCATTCTACGTTTTGCTTTTTTCACTTAGTATCTGACATATGTAAAGGTAGAGATTTAAGTCTTTAATTTAAAAAATCTACTTAAACTGAGCTTAAGTATTCTGTTCCCAGTAAGAACTAGAAAACAGCTAAGGCTTCTTTAGAAAACAGCTAATATATTCTAATATACAGTTAAGGCTCTGCAAAAGCTGCTCAACTACTTTTAAGCCTTTTTAAAGAAAACAATAAAGCACTTCAAGTAATAGCCTTTTGCAGCAACAAAGTAAAAACCCCACTAATGGCTTACACACTAACTGGATATACTAAATGGTACACCAATTACCATTTTCAAGTGGCTGAGAAGATGAAACAGAGAGTCATTCCCCGCCTGTTTTAACAGATATAAAACAAACAACTGAGGAGTTCCTCCCTCCAGAGAAAGAACACTTTCTCAAAATAGACAAAAGCAGGCATCAAAATGAATGCTTAAAAATACATCACCTAAATAAAGAACCTTAGAGAAAAGGTTACAGACAGCCTTTCCCACTGTGAAAAATAATCCTACTACCTAGGTTTTCCAGTTAACTTCGAATGGCTTCTAGATCATGATTCAGCATATCCACTACTCTGTGCTCACAGAAATAAGTCTCCTGGAAATCAGAGTTTAAATATACAAATGGGGTCAGCAGGTGGCATGGTAGTGAAGGCGCTGGAATTTGCACATGGGCTACTGTGGTTCAAGGCCTGGACCTGGCGGCTTGCTTTCTAACTCTCCCTCTCTCTCTGGCAAAACTCATGCTCTCTCTGGCTCATGTGAAAAAAAAAAAAAACTCTTAAAAAAAAAAAAAAAAAAAAAAAAAAAACAAGGACTTCCTGCATATTTCTAGAAGAAAAAAAAGTAGACTTTCAGCTGTCTATGAGTATAGAAACTACTTGCTTAAAATTCACACTGAATGGGACTAGCAGGTGGTATAGTGGTTAAGGCACTAGAATCCCACATGGCGGGCCACAGTCTGAGTGCTAGACCCAGTGGACTGAAAATGACTCCAGATACATGGGCATGTATGCCCAAAATCCTGAGAGGAAAAAGGACTGTGGTGTGGCCATTCCCCCTGACAGGTGATTTGTCACTTTCCCTCTATCTCTCCAGCCAGTGCAACATGCCTTATGGCAAAAACCATAAAACAATTTTTAAAATTCACACTGAATTCTAAGTTCCAAGATTAAAATTATCAACCATGTTGGTTAACATGTTTTATTTTTGTCATTATTTATAGGGCATAAAATAACAAAATCTTAAAAAACACATTTTCCTTCCTCACAAGTATACAAAAAATGACACTGACTCTATCAACAACTTTTAATTTTAAAAAGATCATTTTAATGTTCTAATTCTTTCCTCTTCTGCCAACTAAACTTCAATTCTAATCTTCAAATTACTCCTATGCAAATGTCAACGGTCTTTTAAATTACTAAGGTTTCTTTTTGAAAGAATTATTTTATTTAACTTTATTTATTTATTTATTTTAATTTGACCAGAGAGGGACAGAGTGAGCAAGAGAGAGAGAGGGAACGTGAGAAGGCAAGTTACCAAGTCCGCCTCTCAAACCACAGTCAGCCACGTGGGAGTCTAGTGCCCTTAGCCACCATGCTACCTGCTGGCCCCCCAAATTCTTAAGTTCTAATAAGTTAAAACAGTTGTTTCTTGCCAGCAAACTCCATAAATGGTATATAAACAATTTCAAGAGAATGTTAACATGAAAGTGAGTGTTTTAGATATAACTACATGTACAGATAACTCCTCATATTAACACTTACGTGAAATTCATCCTATTTTTACTGGAACTATTAAAATTAAAAGACTGCACTGAAAAACTCAGAAGCTGAAAATTAGCTCCTACCTGACAAAGGAGATTTCTAACCATTCTCTTGAGTTACTTTGCATCTGAATTTCAAATATATTACAGGAAAACCTTTCTTTTAAAGTACTGGCACAGTTTACATGGGGGTAAAGAAATGAATACACAGCTACACTCAAGTTATAGCTGGACATCTCACATGTTCACCCTGACCGATTCTGGTCACTTCCCTGGCTACAAGTGATAGCAGACAGTGAACAAGCGGTTACCTCTGAGATGAGGGCCCACACGAGCCTCCTCGCAAGCATCACTGTGATGAATGCTGCCAGGTGATAATCAATGAGATGAAAGTTCTATAAGAGAAACAAATAACTGCATCAGAATGTGA